GACAAGCACACGACTTACACATGCTGTAAATAATATAAAATAGCTAACTACAAATGTTTTTAATTATTGTCTCCAGCAACACTGTAAAACTGGGTTGAAATAGTCGTCACCTCGCTTTGTTTTTCTACATGGATGGAGGATTTTTAAAATAATTTAGCACAAAGTTCACCATCATAAGGTGTGTCCCAGTATAAACACATTTCCCACTGAAGGTCAAAGTCACACTTAGAGGTTAAACGTCCACTTCTATATGAATGAGTGGGTTTTTGAAATAACTTGGCACAATGTCCACCATCAGAGACGAGTGTCGCTATATACCCATCCTTAGTTGAAGGTCAAGGTAACTGGACAGATTATAACTAATTGTTATAACTTCTTTATTATTTAAGCCAAAGCCTGATGTTTTAACAAAATTTCATTTGGACAAAAGCAGCCTTCGTCTTAAATGTCAACATTTGGTGTTGACCCATACTTGACATGCATTTACGACTTTATCATTAAAAGTTAGAGATATGTCTGCATACCAGGCACATCTTCTTATGATGGTGAACGTTTGTGCCAAATTATTTCAAAATCCCTCATCTAATGTACATAATTGATACTGCTGAAAATCCTATTCCGGTATCTACCGCTATATCAGTGGTGCCGCAGATATCTGCACCGAGCGGTCTGCCATCCAGTGGAGAAACCGGTACTCCTACAAGGCTAGGAAGATAAACAGAGACAGCCTTTTTTCTGTGGAACATTAATATGACTATCTTCATTGATGATCGACAGTGATTTCTTTTCTTTTTTTGATCAATTATTATATTATTCTTATGTTGATATATAAATTTTGTTAATGTCCGCACTCCAATTTAATAAAAATTGTAAATCGTCATAGTAGTAGCGTCTTATATATACGACTTGTAATGTATTCGCAATAGATATTCCAATATGACAATCTGAGGACTTGGTCACAAGAAACTCAACTGGAAGAGGTCAATGACATTGGTTGTTTTTTCATATAAAATAAGGGAAAATTGCAGATATGGCTTTTCCGAGGGTATTGTTTCGAAAATTTTTATTACCATGGCGCACCCAGTATGCTTGTTGTTTAGATTATTGAATGTAATCTGTTTCCAAATAAATCAATGTGTCCGAACAAAATTTGACAGACAAGTGCCAATATGCAAACAACATATGTATTCATTTGTAAGTTTAAATCTTACAACATGACGAGGAGACTTTCGCTCAAACTGACAAGTTTTAAATTATATAATGTATGTCTAGAACAAAGTTCGCGGCCGTGCCTGTTCCCGTCTCATTAACAAAAGGACAAAGTATCCGAGTCTCTTTTAATTGTTTTCAAACAAATAACATCAACAATATTCAAACAGCAGATGATGATGCGACATGGTAAGTAATTCCTGCCACACATATTTTAAAGTAACACAGTCAATGGTCAGTGTCACAGTACTGAACCAAAGTGTGTATACATATTAGAAAGTTTGAATGCTAAAGGTCAAAGCACTTAGATTATATGACCATTTAACGTCTTTGCACTTGTTGGTCATCGTTACCTTGACCTTTTGACCATTAACAGAATAATGGATGTGGTATGTAGAACTCATGAAGGTGCATTTTCATATAAAGTTTTAAAGTCCAAGGTCAATGGGTCAATGTCAAACTTAGAGGTCAAAGGTCAAACTGTGGTGTAATGTTTCGTGTCTCGAATATAAGTCATTCACTGATGATTGGATTTTCATATAACCTTGCAAAAATGTTCACTTCTACCAGATGTTTTGACATCACACAGATTCCTCGCTTCAAGGTCAATGTCACACTAAGAGGTCAAACATTTGTAAAACATTTTGTTTATGGAGTAAATGATGATGGGATGTTCAAATAGCCTAGACAAATTTCCCATATAAATCGATATTGTGCTGCACGCCCAGGTCCCACTTTCTATGGCAAAGTTCTCAGAGGCCAATTTATGAATTGTCAAATTGTGGTGCATTTTTGTGTCATGTTGGCACGGCATCACGGGCAGTAGTATGTCTCACATTGGCATGCAACTTCCTCAATGAGGTACATGCAAAGTGTTTTTGGTTGCAAAGAAAAAGCTAATTTCTGAAGCTAATTGTTTCATTTTTTACACTATAGAAGGAACACATAAACAAAGCAAGGAATGTTCGAAAATTATTGCCACATGACTTTTTTCTGGAAAACCAATAAAGATATTATAAAGATTTGTTTTGCACATTAAAGAATGTTCTTTCTGTTGAAGACTGCGTATTTTTTTTCTTTCTTAAATCTTGCAGATATCCATTCGATTTTTTGCCCAGTATATAAACCATACCCACTACTGATATGAATTGCTGATATGCATCGTGCATTGATTTTCGCAATATTATATGGTTGTAAAGCACGAAGATAAATGACTAGCAAATGCAATAAAACTTTATATAACATATCATTCTCTAATAGTTTTCAATAAAAAAGTTAAGTTACAACACTTTCGGACTACCCTCGTTTTATTGGACCTTACAACGACCCATACAACTACACCTCCCTTCTTTCCAAAATCAGGACTTATACCATTGTCTCTCCTCTTTACAAAGGTTTTGCTGATATTTACTTAATATCACTATCAACATAAAATCCAAAAAGTTGTTCAATTATTATTAAACTACATACGATGATCAAACGTTACAATGACAAACAACAACGATAACAAATTAAATTACGGTGCATAGCATAAGCTTATGTTACTACATGTAAAATAAATGTTGTTTTAAATAAGTTGTATGCAGTGTGTACGTTTGAAGAAAAAAACTACACACCCAAAGCTTAATTATATGAATATCTATAACTTTGAATGCACATTGTGATGAAATTTAGAAGTTTACATAGATCTGAATCTGTTTAGCAATAGTTTACTAAAGGTTACACTCTCATAGGTTCTTTATAGGAAAGATGATCAGACGCACTGTCACCACATTAAAATTAAACAAACGCAATCTATAACAAATCGAGAAAAGTTCTTAAAACGTAGATTATATTAAAATTAACTGATACAATTCAATGAACAAAAATAATCTATGTAAAAACTCGTTGTCTGTCATATTTCATTCATGTTCAACAGACAAGTCAAAAGTCACAAGTCACAAGTCAAAAGTCATAAGACACAAGTAAAAAGGGCAAGGTTTATGCTTCCATACAAGAGTGAGCTGTTCAACCAAAAATCCGGGCCCTTTTATACCCAGAAAATCTTAACCAAAATAAAGTGGTTGAAGTGGTTGGTTTACCAAAGTGGTTGTGGTTGGAGCCAAAAAGTGGTTGGTCCGACCAAGGAATATTGGTTGATTTACAAAAACGGTTAGAAATTTAAACATAGACTCTAAGACCTATGAAATGATAAAAATGGACATAGAACATATTGTTACAAATATTATGGCATTATCTTAAACACGTTATACCTTGTCAATGAAGAAAATACACAAAAATCCGATCGCAGAATTTCGTCAATAAATTAGCTGTAGCCGGTCGTCCCTAGTAACGTACCGGAAACAGTTCAAAATGGCATCATGAAGCGAAAGTGGAAGCACGTTTTTCTAAGAAAACGGATCATAACTACAAAAATACATGGAATTAAACATTGTTACTTGGCAAAACAGTGACTTAAATAATTTATAAACAATTACAATAGGATTTTTAATCACAGGTAACGAGTGAAAGTGGCAATTCCCCTGAGAAGTTAGATTGAGCTGCACATCGTGAAAATGGAGGATAAACAAGGAAAGTAGGATAGATTAAATCTGGCTCATAACCCGTATACATGCGTTGGTGTTTTGATTTCTAGTTAAACACAGCTCATTATATGTTTCATGGCTAGTAAATGTCAAAATACCCTCACTATTAAAGATTAGAAGAAAAGTAATTTCTCAAGTTCAAGTCAATTAAGGTAAGGAGTTGAGTTCATGCAGTTCAGTTATGTTACAGTTATAGCTGAAAATTTCAGATCACTACATAACCCCCTTGTTTCTATGGCGTAACTCCTGTTGCCATCGATCAAATTAATAATTTTTAAAAGTAAAATCTTAAAATATTTAACAAATTAAATAATTCCAACTATTAAACACGCATATTATATAAATAAAGAAATCAATTACTTAGCACATAACACTGTCAATTGATAAACAATTGTCTTTTGAAATCATTTTCTCATGAAGTTCTATTTGATAATTTATAGATTTCTTTATCTTTTAAGAAAACTATATAAAATATGTAGCAATTAACTACATAACAAAATTCAATAAATGTCTTCAGTCACTAAAACATGTTAAGCCATGTTATAACATATATGACGTTTAGTGTCGCAAGTAAATTTCACTGAATTTAATTAAAAGTTCCTGTTTGCTAGTTCCGGTTACATGTTCTTCATATTAAAGTTGTGTCATTTTATGATTTTGTTTAACACAGTATATAATATTCATCCAGTTCAAATGTTTTTGTTTTATTTCACAAGTCTACAATTTAATTTCTGTTAATTATGTGACAATATTCATCCAGTCAATGCAATGTTTTTTATATTTCACAAGTCACTTCTTATTTAATTAATTAATTAATACTCTTTCTCAATTTTATTCAAATGTCCATTGATTTAGCACTTCAATTTATATTTTCACTGTACAATGCATGTAAAAGTTATACTTATATACTATTTATATTCTTCATTTTATTTAAAGTTGTAAATTTAACAGTCCATTTAATATTTCACTTTCAGCATTATAATTCGATGTCAGTAATGTTTCGTTATCAGTTTTTTAGGCACTTCTTCTTTTTTTAAATGATTAATTTTGTTTCACTTCATTACTTTTCAGTGTCCACAGTTTATAAATGTTAACTTTTATATATATTATGCTTTTCAGGGTTGATTTCTTGTTTGGTGTGTAATTCTCCTTATTTTCTTCGAATTCCTTTGGTTTTTGGGTGACAATTCTTTTGATGCAATTTACATTTCTTTCTATCCTGGCAAGTTCTTCGCTGACCTTAGTTATGGCTTTTTCATTTTGACGTACAGCCCTGGTGTTCGAGTCGATATTATCTGATATCATCTTGGCTGCTTTCATTATAAAGTCACCCATGTTGCTGTTACCGGCTGGTTCATCTTGTGTCGTTTTCTCTTCAGTCTTTTGTTTCTTTCTTTGCGGTTCCGTTTCATCTGCCATTCCTTCCTTATAGAGTGGATCGTCTCAGTCAGATGTTTGAAGATGAAGATGCGGAAGTAACTCAGATGCGGGATGTTTGTCAAGTAGTGGTGTTTGAGATGGAGTTTTTCTGTTTAGTTTTGGAGTATTTAATGGCTTCATTATGTCATTATGTAGGATTCCAGACTGTTCTTTATATCGTTTGGATTTATTGTGTCTAGCCCCTGACCAATTTTAGCTGGAGTAAACACCTGATTCAATGTTGGCAGAAAAGCTTGTTTCTGTTGTTGTTGTTATTCAAGTTCAATTCTGAATATGGTAGATAGGTGGTGTGATTTTGGGGTACATTGTAGTTACTGGAATGACTAGTAATGTTCAGTTGTTGTTGTTGTAGGTGTTGTTGTTGAAGTTGTTGTTGAATAGCAAGTTGAGTCGTATAGCAAGAATAGCAAGTTGAGCCTTGTTAGCGAAATAGAGCTGTGGCGTAGCATATTGTGACGTTCGATTCCCAGCATCATAACCGGACGTTTCTGTTACCGAAGCCTTAGAAGGAATGTTAGTCACTAGCAATTTTGGTAAAGGTAAACCACCTGACATGATGACGACATCCTCTTCTTCCTCGAATAAACCTTCTGAATCATCTAACGGGTTCTCAGATTGTGATAAGTGTCTCCCATACCACTGTACCGACAGTTCTTTACTCAGCTGTACCATGTCGTCCACCCCTATAACGTAAGGATTTTCGGCCATCTTTAATATCTTGGCATAATCCGGTTGACCAAACCTGGTTTCCTCATCACGATGCCTAGAGTATTTCTTAATATGGTATAATAGGGACTTCTTGTCTGTGCATCTGAAGGAACATAAGGAACACGAATAAGCTACTCTATCGAAAGGCACATGGTGTTTAAGAACGTGTGACACCATTCTCCACTTTCTATCCACCTTGCCGCATCTCACACACTTGTAAGCCCTCCCTCTACCTCTGAACTGTGTTAATGATATCTCTGACTGAAAATACACAGACGAGGCAATACTCATTAAAATTTTGAAATTATGATTGGACATCTACACGGTCACTGGTACTTGCGGGGATCGGATACGTTACCGCCATGGAAATAAACTGGAAGGTACTTCTGTTCTCTATGCACGATATGTTTCATACGATTAACACATCTGGTACTTCGTGTGCTTGAAGCATCTTGTTCTTAATATTTAGTACATAATCCCCAAAATTATGCACTTCGCTTTTCGTCTCGTTTACATGACCAAAAACTAAATCTGCAGGTAACCTGATTTCTCTACCAATCGTCAAAAGATTTGGAGACATTCTAGTAGACTCATGTGGAGTTGACCGATAAGCACCTGCCAAGCATCCTAGATAAAGGTCCCATTGGTCTTGTTCTCCAACTAGGTAAGCCTTCACCTTCTTGACTACGGTTTTCATGATTCGCTGAACTTAGCCATTTCCTCTTGGGTTTCTGGCACTACAACGAGTTTTGCAGCATGGCACAAAGAGACTTGAACACGGAACTTTCAAACGCGGGGCCTTGTTCGCTGTGAATTGCTAAGGGCGTACCCCACCTAGCAATGATATCATTCAATATTCTTAATGCACATTCTTCTGCTGACTGATTTGGGACTGCAATCACTTCTACGTACTTGGAAAAGTGATCAGTTACCACTAATATGTATCTATTACTTCTAGGTGTAACTGGAAATGGACCTATGAAATCTACAGCTAACAAATCCCGTGGTGCTCCAGCTTTAAGTCTTCCTAATGGTGCTCTTGAAGGTTTTTGTGACTTAAAATCAGCTGCACAAATGACGCAACGTTGGATGTGTAGTCGTATGTCCTGTCTCATATTAAACCAATAGTAATGCATTTGAATTTTAGCCTTCGTCTTGCGATTTCCAAGGTGACCACCGACTGGCGAGTCATGTTCTAACATTATTACAGCCTTTTTATATGCTTGCGGAATAATCATCTGCGTATATTCATCAGTACAATTTTTTTTACAGAAAGTTTTGTATAGTACGTTATTTGTCAAAGACAGCGAATCCAATAAAATCCAATAATGGCGTGTTGCGGGACTCTTGTCAACCATATCTTCACTCTCTGGTTTCTGACCTTCTTGGAGGGCTTTCACAATCGGTAAAATATCTGAGTCATTTCTCTAGGCTGTTTGCATGGTTTCAGGTAAACAAAAACCAAACAAATTATTTCCCCTCTTTACGTTTCTCTGTAACCCACTAGTTCCTGGCTCAACTGTCCTAATGGCTTGTACCTCATCTGCAACATGATTACTTGGCTCTTGTTTACTTATGTCGTCTTCCTAGTCAGAGTCGTTCGGATTAGGCTTAAGCGACATGATCTCAGCTCTTCGTCTGCATTTTTGACAAGGGCCACATTTAAGGGGTTCACTCATATCGACTTCATTGCAGGTACAGTCTCTAGGGTTTTCACATCTTGATAAAGCATCGCAATGTCCCTGTTGCTTTCCTGGACGGTATTGGATAACAAAATCGTACGATGCCAATATCTCAATCCATCTTGCGATCTTGCCATTTGGTTCCTGTAAACTAAAAAGCCAGGTTAGTGCTTTATGATCACTTCTAACTACAAATCTACGACCAAGAAGATACTGCCTAAAATATTGTACGAAAAATACTACAGCTAACAACTCTTGTTCTGTTACACAGTAATTACGTTCAGCTTTATTCATGGATCTACTTGCATACGAAATCACGCGCTCGCGACTTCCTTGTTCTTGATGAAGTATTCCCCCAAGACCGAAACCCGACGCGTCAACGTCTAAATAAAAGGTACCGCCGTCATTCAGTGGATAACCCATTATTTGTGGACTCGTCAATATTCGCTTTACTTCACAGAATGCCGCTTCACAAGCTGAGTCCCATTTGAAAACTTTATCTTTCTTAGTCAGCTCTATCAATGGTCGAACAATCTTTGCGAAATCCTTAACAAATAGTACGAACGGGTCGCAACAAATTGCTTAACCTGCTTTGCATTTTGAAGCGTTGGTCATTGAATTATTTTTGGAGATATTTGTCGGATCAGGACTAACACCTTTTCTTGACACTACATGCCCAAAAAAGACTACTTCGGTCTGAAGAAGTTGGCATTTTTCAGGCTTTAGCTTCAACCCAGACTTTCTTATTCTTTCAAGAACTTCATTAACATTGTACAGATGTTCATTGAAATCAGCTGCAAAAATGATGATGTCAATATATACAAGACATGTGACCCACTGTAAAATATGATAAACCTTGTAAACTGTAAACTCCCACTGTAAACCTTGCAGGGCTAATTCCATAGTTCGTTGAAATGTCCTTGCAGAGTTCGATAGACCGGAAGGCATACGCGTCATCTCAAAACAGATAAATACAGAATCCCCAAAGAAAGCCCAACACGGCAAAATTGAAAATGTTGCAGGTTCGGTTTGATTGAGCCTGTTCATGGACGGTACTGGAAAGTGCAAGTTACCGTCCACGCCCTCTAGCACCGGCTTAAGCAGAATTCAACATTTAAACGTGAAATAGTAAAATTTTGAATTTAGAAACATCCGCAGATGTGTTCATCCAGAAAAGCACCTCACCTTGGTCAAGCCCAATTGTTCTTGTGCGAAAGAAATCTGGCGCTGCAAGACCGTGCGTAGACTATCGTAAGGTAAATAGTCTAATTAAGCAAGGTAATATTTACAAACTGGCCATATTTACACACGAAAGAACTCTTTGGGATATCTTCTTTTCTTAGCGGTATCTGAAAATATCCACTAGTTAAATCGAAACTAATAAAGAAACACGAACCCGATACACCATCCAGACAGTCTTGTATTCTCGGCAAAGGAAATCCATCTTGCTTAATTAGACTATTTACCTTACGATAGTCTACGCACGGTCTTGCAGCGCCAGATTTCTTTCGCACAAGAACAATTGGGCTTGACCAAGGTGAGGTGCTTTTCTGGATGACACCCTTCTTGAGAAGATCTTCAATTGCTTGTTTTTCTTCATTGGCAAAAGCAAGAGGGACCCGCCTTGGTCTCTGTCTGAAGAGTTTCGCATCTCCAGTATCGATCGCGTGTTCATGTAGGTGGGTGAGTCCAATATCCCATTCATTCTTCGAAAAGATATCGCTATACTTATCAAGTAATACAGCTACAACTTGCTTTTCATTTTCAGATACTCTTTGTGTGGATCTTACAAACAAGTATCTTAGATGTTCTGGAATTGTATCCTCTGTCGCTGGCTCAAAAGGCAACTTTACATGGCTCATCTTTCTTGGCATACTGTCAACTTTTCTTATCCGGTTAAGATTTTCCGTCTCATCAGGATTTTCAGTTTCAGCTACAGTATTCAACACAGAATCAACCTTTTCAGCTTTTGCAATTTCTGCATCTTGTATCAGTTTGATGTGGTGATTAAATGGGTTAAGTACCCTGATTTTGTATGTTGTTGCTCTGTTAATATCTACAAGTGTTGCTGCCATTACAAGTTGATATCTCTTTGTAAAATTCTCTAAGGGTTCAATAAGGTTTTCTGCTTGTGTATCATAATCATCTGCTTCTATTCGATTAACATAGACGTCAACAAGCAAAACGGTAGTTTGCACTTTCAAGTACCGTCCATGAACAGGCTCAATCAAACCGAGCCTGTAACATTTTCAATTTCGCCGTGATGGGCTTTCTTTAGGGATTCTGTATTTATCTACATGTATTTTATGATCACATCCGTGTTATTTGTGCCGTGAGGCGGCTGTAAAAAGTCTCCCCGTACATTTAATCAATGATTCTATATTTTCGATCCTTGAAGATCGTTCAGCACGAATTATTGTTGTGCTTGTGGTATTTTTAGTTTCAACTTTTCGGCATTTTCTAGTTGGGTGGTTCCAATATTTCTACTTGAATAATGTTGAATCACCCTTAGGATATGTTGCCTGCTTTTTAAATTTGTCTTTTTGACGTCTTATCTGTGATACGCAGGCTTCATAACCTCTGATCCCC